ACTAAGCCTTCCAAATATCTTTCAGGTGTTGAGTGAAGTCTCCACAGAAACAGAAGCCTAGATCTTCGCAGCAGGCAGAGTAGTATGCATACCAGTTTTCAGCAAGTTCCAGCCCAGCATTTCTAACAGGAGTCCACATGATTCACATACTCATTACAGTTTGGAAGCTTAAACATCTGTGAGCACATTCCAAAGTTTGCCTGCCCTCACTTCCTATCTGGAACTGGTCTCAGGTCCCATGAATACCCTCGGATGTAGTGATGGGTGTCCACAATGAAAATCCATGGAACATAGATGCTGCTGATGTAATAGGCCTAGATATTTTAAAAAGATACTCATGCCTCTTTATCTGACTGATGGACTATTGAAACAATGGACCGCCAAGAAATGAAACTTTCCCAAGTAATCTTATGATAGGAGAAGGCAAAATTTCCACACAGGAGGAAACGTCTCTCTTCAAAAGAGATTGCACACAGTTCTAGCAACTTGTCAGACCGCTTTACTTGGCTCAGACAATGTCAGGGCAGCACATTGACAGGTAATCCTTGGCCCTCTAATTCAACTTAAATCTCATTTCAGGAGCCTGAAGATGGACATAGGTGAAGAGTTCACTAGATGTCGTCGTCCCCCTTCCCAATACGACACGGAATAAGTCTCCTCTTTCTGCTATCCACTGTTATTTTGGCCTTTCCAGTGGGTTTTTGATAACTGGTGGCCAGAACCGATGGGGTCTTCAGGTTACAAACCTCAAGTTGGCTAACACTGGTAAAGAGGACTCAGCTTTCAACTGACCAGGCAGTACAGCTTCACTTTCAGATCCGGAGACATTTCTCAAGGATGTTTGTGCTGAAACTCTGATTTCTGTTCAGAGAAACCCTGTTTCTCTTAAAAACTTATGATCAGTATAAAGTGGCTTTTATAGAGGATTACATCAAAAGAGTGACTCCTGAGGGAGGATACTATTCTTAGCTTGAGTCCGAAAGAGCTCTTTTAGTACTTCCTCAGGGTGCTCCCTGTCTATCGGATACGCTTAAGATCAAGAGTTAACGTCAATCAAAAAATAATGCAGTCAACTTTGCCAAATATTATCTGAAACAATATTATCATGGTTATGTTCAGATCTAGGAAATATATGGTTCCACTTATTTTATGTCGGATTAATAAATGTCTGTCTTGTTGGCTCCTGCTCAGCTAGTTTTCTTATAGAGCCTAGGATCATCTGCTCCAGAACGATGTGATCCACAGTTGGCTGGCCCTCTGACATCAATTAAAACAATGAAAACAATCTTCATACAAACACTCACAGAAGAATATTTACACATACTCAAAATAGTGTGGCTATCATGCGTATTGGCAACATACTTGCAGATTATTCCAAATTAAAAAAAATGCACCATTATTTTAGAAGAAAGTGCATTTGAGGAAAAATTAGGAGATGCTTATATATATATATATATAGCTAAATTATATATATATATATAGTGTATATATAACTAGTGATTTTCTATATCCTTCTGTACCTATATCATTTATTTTTGAGAGAAAAAATTGTATTATACTATTTCACCTAACACGATTTTCTATTGAGAAAAAGAGTTGACAAACATTTTCTTTGTGTATACACCCATTTATTTTGATAAGATGGAAATGATTGACATTAGGCACCCAACCCAATATTATAAGGCAATAAATACAATTCTTTTCAGAAAATTAAAGAAAAGAATCATTGGGATTATGTAAGACATGAAGACCTAAAAAGAATTAAAAGAAAATGTATATGTCATATACTAACACAATACATACAAATAAATAAAATAAATAACTTTAAAAAATGAATCACATATTATGGGACTTTGAAGTAGCAAGCAGATTACTTTGTATTTTCAACACTATCGGTTCATAAAGTCCCATAAGTCCTAATAGTTCCCATAATGAAGATACCAAAGTGTCCTAAGACAATAAAAATGTATTTATTTTTACAAATAGTACATTGGTTTTACAATATTAAGAAAGTAACGCACCTTTAATTCTAGTGCTCAGGGGGCAAAGGCAGAGGCAAACAGACCTTTGTTAGCTTAATGCTAGCATGATTTCCATAGTGAGTTTCTGGCCATTAGGGGTGCATAGTGAGACCCTGCTAAAACAAACAAGAAAAGAAGGAAGGAGAGAAGAGAGGGAGGGAAGGAGGGAGAGAGAGAGAAAGAGAGAGAGAGAGAGAGAGAGAGAGAGAGAGAGAGAGAGAGAGAGAGAGATTCTGTGCCACAGTTTCTGAAGCATGGTCTGAGGAGTCCAGTCTGTCCCTGGATAGCAGTAATAACTTACTTAGCTCAAAGTGACTATCGAATGTAGACAGTCTGAGTAGTCAGTCTGAATTTCAACTTAATCAACTAAAGGTTTATCTAATTTGGCTGATATAATATGAGTACATCATGATTTCAGTTAATAAGTACAACCTAGTACCTCATACAAATATATTTACTTGGTCTTTCTAATGCGCAGAGGCTGAGTTAGAGTTGATTCCTTTTTAAAATTCCAATTTACTTATGTTAGTAACTCATTAAGACAAAAATGCCCATGTAGCTTGAAGTATTTGTTTCTTTTCCCATTGTCACTCATTCTTTGACCCTTTTGTTTCACCGAGAACTATGACGATGTCTAACCATGTTTGTAGAAGCAGTATATAATATGTATGCATAAATGTGTTGTTCTTGCCTTAGTAACTTTCTAGTTCAGCAACTATCACACATTAAAAATATATTCTAATATTTTAACAAAAGGCACATTTTTATTAATGCATGTGTTCTTTCATAAAAGTATGTTTTTGGTATTTAAGATACACCTACAAAAAATACACAGATGTGTACTAAGTTTAAAGACCAATACAAGTTGGAATTACTTTTCAGCAGTGGGTTCTTTCCAGTGAAGAACATGCTGATCTCTACGAGAGATAACTATTTTGTGCAAATGAAAACATAACTTCCCCAGCCAGTCCCAAATGTGGTTTTTGACATTATGCTATTTTCCCATTAGCTACATAGCGTGGGTGTCTCTGACTCAGGGTGCTGCTCAAAGGCCCCATGCTGTCTGCAACAACATAGACCAAGGTCATGGGGCACTGTCATTGACATCACAATCATTCAGTGATGTTTAATATTATTATTAACCATGGACATGCTGCTTCATCCAGGAGAACAGAATCTCTCCTGTTATTAATAATAACAATTAATAGCAATGAAAATATAAGGCAGGATATGGAACCATTGAAATACACGTAAAAGTTTTCCCTCTTAACTCAGTGCTTTAGGTGTCTTTCTATACATGCTTACAAGCTAAAAATTTGGCCCTTGAGCACAGATCTTGTAGGTAGAGCTACCAATCAATAATCAATAAATTATCCACTTTTCTGTCAATCTGATAATTTCCATAATGTCTAACTTACTTATTGAAGTATGAAATTTAAGCATGTTCTTTCATTCCATTACATAAGGATACTGGTTTTCATACGCTAACCTAGTTCAGCATGGAAACTTCACCTTAGTACGGTATTTACGTTCTGCTTATTCACACATTAAAGTGCTTTTGTTCTAGTCAGTTTTATTTTGTTGTTTGTTTTGAAGGCAGTGATAAATTTTTTGGATATTTCTAAATTAACCAAAAGAAATGTCTCAAGGTTCTTAAGAAAGCTGTTTAATTAAACAGTTATTTAAAGATTTTTAGATGTGTGCAAGGCTTTTTCTTCTAAATTAGCACACTGCTCTTGCTCTCAGTCAGCCTCAGGTTTCTTTTGTTTTCTTATCCTTTGTTGGCAGGTTTGCATCCAATTCAGTCTTCTCGATAGCACAACGCTATGGTACTTCTATGGCAGAGTCAACCAAATTCAGACAATATCAGAGTAAAACAGCTCTAAAGTAAGATTGCACTATTTATGCTGAGTTAAACTCACAAATATGCTAGGAAAACAGGGCTGCTGCGCCCTTCGCAGGCTTCCTGGCAATGCAGAGCATGCACTTGCAAGTTACAATTTCCGATGAAGTGTAGGGCTGAAGGAATTCGGAATTATTTTATAGTCTGTAGTGTTCTGCATGTGTGTTAAGCAGGCTACATTTGTCTCTGAGGTTTTTTCAATCAGTAGCCTGAACCCATGACCCATGGCAAACCTTTGCCCTCAGCTAAACGTATGCTGTGGGTTTCATTTGGGCCCCCTCCTTTTTTATTGTGCCGATTGGACAGGCACCGTATCTTCAGTGCATAGGTCTTCCATTCCAGAATGAGCCAAAAACACGAGTCTTAAGAATCACCTATCTGAGAAGATAGGTCTCATGGGGCAGAAGCAGAACGACAGAAATCTTCAAAGGGAGGAGAGACAGGTGTGGCGATGTCGGGAGGGAGAAAAACCGGCACATGCTATGCTCTAATGAACTACATGGACTGACTTGGAATCCCCCACCCCAATCGTCTGACAGAAAGGCATACTATCCAAGACAGAGCAAAGATATTTGTAACGATGCTTTCGAAAAGTCAGATTATAGAGTCCACATTTAAAAGTCGCCTGGCCTTTGTGCAGTGGCAATATGTATGTCCCAGCCCAAAGATTTTTGCAAATATTTTTGAGGGCCATAATAGCCCATGATAACCCACTTCAGCATACATCTTCGTGGCAGAGTTACACGTTAGAGGGGTAAAGAGCTGAAAACACAAGCATGACTACTTACTGTAAATTACGAGGCGAAAAAATATTTAAAGACAAGCTTGTAGCATTTCTCCAGGCTCCGGGGCTGCTTTAGGGGCTGGGGTGAAGGAAAACAGCCAACAAACCTCACCTTGGTCCCTGTGTACTCCCGCACACTCAGTAGGTTCCTTTGCAGTACGTGGCCAGAAGGCTCCAGCGCCCGTAGATGGCGCCCCTCGTCCGTGCTTGCGCATCTCGCCTCTCTCCAGGCGCAGCTCCGAACCCCGCGAGTCTCCCCGGGTCTTCACAGCCCAGAGACTGCGTTTTAATAAAGACGCGCCTTGGCATCGCGCTCCACAAGCCCCGGGGTTCAGAAAAGCAGACACATAAGCCTTTAAATCTCTGCCAAAAGCTGACGTTTCACAAACGGGAGATTCTGGAATTGCAGTTCGAAAACCATTAAATTACCAAGCTCTCTCCTCCCTTTACAAAAACAATACTTTCCTTTTTTTCCTTCTTATTTTTTTAAGTGCCCTCCCCCACCCCCTTTAATTATGAAAGTGGCCACTCCGATCAAGATTAACACTTGGAAGGACTTTGGAAAAGAAAAGGGATCTGGAAGAAGAAACACATCTGGTGCTTCCTAGGACACCTAGTTTTAAGAAGGCACCTAGGAAGACTGCGCTGGGTGTCTAGGTGAGAGCCGGACGCGGGATTGGCCAGGTACGAGGAGGAAGTGCGAGGAAGGGGCTGTGGGTTCTAGGACTAAAGAAGTGGGGCGCTCCGGACTTTGCTCTCTGGAGTCTGGGTTTGGGGGAAAGCAGGACTCGGGGATCTTGTTAATGAGGTGCGCGGAGTGCGCACGGGCTGCTGGAGCACTTGGGACTCGGAGAAGGCAGGCTGCGCGCGGTGGTGCGGTTCCTGGGCTCGGCGCGGCTCTGCAGAGCGGGAAGCGTGTGGGTTCCAAACAGGGCGGTGTGGGGAGCAGCGGGGAGCAGCGGGGAGCGTCGCGCTGTGTGGGGCTCCCTGGGCGCGTGGGGCCGGGGCGTGGTGCGCTTGCCCAGCCGGAGCTGACTGCGAGGAGAGGCGGCAGGGCGGGGCGGCCCGGTTATTGGCCAAGCTCTGGGAGAAGGGTCGTGCTCCGAGGTGTCCTCCGCCCGCTAGCTCCCCCTTGCCTCATTTTCTCTAAGCAGAACTACTTCGCGGACCTCGGTGCTCTCCCATCATGGATGTTCCAGGTAACCCACCCCATCCCTGAGCTCCGGGATCTGCTCGCTAGTTGCCTTTTTGTAGTGCTTTACCAGAACCTTGAGTAATGTTAGTGCTGGGGGTTCAAGAGAGAAGAGAGGAGCGTTGGCGGCGGAGTAGGGGGTGGGAGGTGGTCCGCTATCCTTTGTGTAGGAGCTGCAGACGGGATATTTATTGAAACCCAACTTCTCTTTTCTTAGAAAGAACACTGGAAGAGTTGCTCGGAGAGCGTGGGCGGCGAGGGGAGGGTTCTTTCTGTTTGTGTTCCTGGGCTGGGTATTGGAATGGCCTCTCTGGTTTAGCTGAAGAAGAGGGGACGGCTTAAAGTGCCAAGCCGCGTAAGTTAGCAGAAAGGTACTGAAGAAAGGGAGTGGGGTCCAGGGACAAGAGCCTGCAAATGAGGAAAATTCGGGGGTTCTGGTGCTAGAATAGGCTGTTGTTTTTGCCAGGAAAAAAAAAAAAAAAAAGACTCTACAAGGCTCTCCTAGGGGGCTTGCCAGTGACTGCAGGGACATTGGAAGTGGGTGTTAGAATTTCGCTCCTCACCCGCCCCCATCCCGCCTTTCTCTGTTTCTGTCCTTTCCTTTTTCTTTTTAATCTCATCCACCCAAGGAGTTTTCTGGAGTTTTTTTTTTTCTCTTTCGGGGGGTGGGGGCGGACTCTTTTTATACGTTAAGGAGTGTTTGAAAATTTCTTCCTGGATAGAAAAATAGAGGAAAGGGGGGGGGGAGGCAGGGAGAGGAAGATTTTCTCCTTGTGGCTGTTCAGAAAGCCACTGAAAAGAAGATGATGAAGCATCATTTTTGCTTTTTACTTTGACTACATTCATTTCCGCCAGTTGTGTTGGGATGAGTAGGCAGGGGGCGACGGTGATGATGCTATCTTAGAGGTCCCCAACCCTTTTTACAAGGTCCTACAGAATCGCAGCCCAGAACCCCAGAACCGCAGACTCCGCGCATCTTTCAGGAATCTGTTTGGGTGGGCTGATTGGTGCGCCAGAGCTTTCTCGTATCCGTTATGCCACATCTGGGATGGGGATAGCTTTGGAGGACCAAGGGAATGATCACCCCGAAGGGACTGGAGAGTACCAGGTACTTGCCCCCTACATACATTCCTACCTAAGGATTCCGGTTTTTTGCCCTGACAGGTCCGCTGGTGCCTTCCTTCTGAGAACCCTTTGGCCTTGACCACCTGAGCCGGCGACCCAGCCAGGAGAAGACTCCCACTCCGGTCCTGCGTGCTCCTGTGTGCACTCGAGCACTCCTCCGGATTTTGCGGGCCTTGACGTCCTCGGGGCGCCCCCCCAGCCCAGATGCCCGCGCCTGGCCGGGGCCTCCGAGGGCCACCGCTGAGCATGCCCGGGCGCCGGGGGGCGCTGCGCCAGCCAGCCAATTTTGGCACCAGTTTGGGGGCGGCGCTGGCCCTGCTGTTGCTGCTGCTACCCGCCTGCTGCCCGGTGACAGCTCAGAACGACACAGAGCCCATCGTGCTTGAGGGCAAGTGCCTGGTGGTGTGCGACTCCAGTCCATCGGGGGACGGCGCCGTCACCTCTTCCTTGGGCATTTCTGTGCGCTCAGGCAGTGCCAAGGTGGCCTTCTCCGCAACTAGGAGCACCAATCATGAGCCGTCTGAGATGAGCAACCGTACCATGACCATCTACTTCGACCAGGTTAGCAACTAACATGCTTACCTGCATATGAGTGAAGGACCGACCCTTGTGCCCAGCTAGCTAGGGCTCCCTGCATCTCCAAGAGTAATGCCAGCCAAACTGGTTTCCCTCCTCTGCCTTGCCCTTACCTTGTTGCTCCTTTTACTACTATGCTTTACTGGAGTCCCTCTTGAACACATTGTAGAGTTTGTTTTTACACACCAGTTCTCTTGGCAAGGATTACTGAGAGAGCTGTAACGATCCCCGGGCTTTCCAAGGGTCTGGTAAAGCTGAGATGTGAAATACATTTTCCTGAAAGAAAACATAGTGCATCTTCCCTTTTGCTGAGGGCAAGGCAGTGAGTGTTTAGGGTGAGCAATCTTCAGACACCTGGGAAGAGGGGATTCCCTTAAAGATGGTACATGTAAGAGAGTTTCTCATTTAAAAGGGAGTCTGACAAAGGGTGAACCTACTGCTTATTTTGTGGGATCCAGTGACAAGATGTTAATTTTCAACAACACCAAAAAAAAGTGGGAAAAATGGGGAAGACAGCAAACATTGTTCTCTGCTTATATACAAAAATAAAGTGGCTATGTATGTACTATAGACAGGAAATAAACTTTTGCACGGTGTGCATACTGTGTATTCAAATATACAGGCATAGCATGAGTATAAATTTAACAAGACAACGGCGCATGACTTACGTGGCTTTAAGCCACTTAATTTCTGGCCTCTGGGCCAAGAAAAGAAGGCTTGGTAAATGTTTCTCTGGGTGGTGACCTGTGTGGTGCTCTTCCCTTGTGATTCCGATTCGTCGTCAGAAATTGAAAAGATGAAAGTGGCTTTCATACGTTTCTAGCCAGCTAATGCTCTTGCCAAAGGGCTTTGTGTAAAATGGAGTCCTGAACCATCATTGGACACAGATGGAGCTACTATCTGCTGGTTTTCCCTCTGTCCAGAAAAGAGTTTCCTAACCCGTTAATAGCCAACGCACACACCTGGTCTCTTTTCATGCTCTTATTTTCATTTTCAAAGCCATGCAGTTGAGGGTTTAAGGAAGTTGTTTAAATACAAAAGTCAGATTTCCTTTCATTATTTCCAAACAATACAGCATGATTCAAGCATAAATACAATCCATAATCTTCTTTATACAGTATTATTTCGCTTTTATTATTTCCAATTACAATGTCCTTCGGTCTTTTCAGATCCACTGATTTGTGGAGTTGTCAGGGAAATTCTGATACAGGGTCAAATCGTCAACAGGGATCCTGTTTTTAGCGGAGGGATTAGTTTTGCCTGGTTCCTATTGCAAATAAAGGAGATGGTAAGTGAGAGAGGTCCTCTGCTAGAGGCCTGGCTGGGTGTCTTTTCATCCACATAAAGCCTTCAATTGACATATTGCCAAAGTTTAAATCCACACTGAGGGGCTGAGCTGGAGGGAAGAGTGCTAGAAGCTCAAAGGGAGCGCTTCATTCTCCAGCGAAGCACCTTGGGAAACAGGGAGCACAGACACCAGAGGCGCTTTGTCTTCAACAATGAAGCAGAGTGTGTGTGTGTGTGCCTGTGTGACACCTGCTCTGGAGTGGGCTGAGGTGGTCCTCACAGCGTGGTGAAGATGCAGACTTCCCCAAGCCACGTCGGTGGTGGCAGCGGTACTTGGCAGCAGTTCACTTTGCTCTGGGAGTTTGTGTGGACTATGCCATTTGGACAAGTAACGAACAGCCAAGGCAGTGGATCTTTGCTTTCTGATGGGGGGGGGAGGTGTGTGGACAGTCCAGGGTTCTGGTGTGGCTAGCTGTTTGTGTTGTAAACATAAAACACCAGTGGGCCATTTAATTATTTTAATGGAGCTGGAGTTTTGCAGGAGGAGGAGATACAGGAACAGGATGTAGACAAAGTAGCCAGATTCCATTTTGAGCAGGAGGAGAGTGAAGTGGGGGAGCTCCATTCTCTCTCTTCACATTCTACTATGAGAAACCAGCAAATCTTGTTTTTGTTTGAGGAAAACTGCCTTCAGGGCCACCGTTCCTCTGCTAGTAGCTAACTGTGTTCTCAGTCTTACCTGCTATGGATTTTCCTCAGTTTGGACTAGGAGTGTCCATGTTACCTGTTTAGTTCTCTGTGTTCGTTCAAGCTTTTTTTTTTTTTTAACGCTCAGCCAGGAGAGCAAGCACTGCTTAGAGAAGCATGGATTCGAACAGGGCAGCCAGTGTTTGTTGACAGAACTCATCACCCAACACTACTTATGAAGCACCTAGTGTATACTGCTAGAGTTTGGAAGACCCTAGACATAGATAAATCACACACACACACACACACACACACACACACACACACATCACATCACATAGATCTATCTCTCTTAATCCTACTCAGGTGAGCTCATGGAATGGTTTGCTGTTACATCCACTTTTCTCTTTCCATTCTGGATGAAGTGTTAAGTATTAAACAGAGCATCATGTTGAACTCCCTATGACCCCTCTTCTTAAAAAAAATCGGTTGAATTTTCAGGTCTCTTCTTAGTTTTACTGTCTCCCATCTCTCTCCATACCCTGTGTATCATCACACAAATTTGCGTATACTATTTGAATGTATAATTAAAATATACTTCCAAAGTTTTTTATTAATTAGAAACTATGAGAATACCTTTGGAATACATTTCTGACATTGAATTTTTTTTTTTTTTTTTGATTTGGGTACTCTCTGCTGCTTGCATTGTTTGAGTAACAATCTGGAATTAGTGGGGCCTATTCTCAGTATCAATAAGGCAGCTAACATTGGTGGTTACCTGAAAGCATGGAGGAAATGCAAGCCTCCTAAGGGCATGCTGTGTGGGTACCTCAGTATGCTGTTCCCTCATCTGTTTCAGGTTTTAGTAAACATCGGCAACCACTTCGACCTTGCCTCCAGTATATTCGTAGCACCACGCAAGGGGATCTACAGCTTCAGCTTCCACGTGGTCAAAGTGTACAATAGACAAACCATCCAGGTGGGTAGGTTTGTAAGTCGAGCCTTCGAAAGCTTAGTAAATGAGGGGTTGGCCTCTGAGCCATCTGGAAATCCTCTCTGGTTCCACATGTGTGGGCTCCAAAAGTTAGATGGGGGTGACAGTCTGTAGGGGAGGAAGAGAACAGGATGTGGGACAGAGGTGATTTCTGATCCGCTGAGCCTTCCTCTCTGCCTTGATAGGTCAGTTTGATGCAGAATGGCTACCCAGTGATCTCCGCCTTCGCAGGAGACCAGGATGTTACCAGGGAAGCAGCCAGCAATGGTGTTCTGTTGCTTATGGAAAGAGAAGACAAAGTTCATCTCAAACTGGAGAGAGGAAACCTCATGGGAGGTTGGAAGTACTCCACATTCTCGGGCTTCTTGGTTTTTCCTCTATAGACATGGAGCCGTCCTGATGGTGGGAAGGTTTTGATCTGGACCCAGGGATCTGTCCTCTGTAACACCTTGAACTTGTCTGAGTAGGAAGGCTTGGGCTGACCTCCATCAGATTGTTGCCGTTGAAGGATGATTTTCTTCTAAAGCTCCAGTATTTTCTCTGACTATTGACAATTCCTCGGGAACCTGGCCTCTAATTAGTTTTAGACGACAAGGTCTTAAGGAGAAATGAAATTATCGATTTGAGCAATTTGTACCTGTGATTGTAAAGTCGATATCGGATTTTATTGTTGGAACCATTGACTTCCCTTCTATTGTTTGTACGTTGTATCCTTGTCCTGATGACATAGATGCTGCTGACCCTCAGATGGATTGCACGCTGCAGTCAGGGCTTAAAAACAAGAGCCCAACAAAGAACCACCTACCAGACAGTCCTTGACCTGTGTTCTCTGTGTGTGTATAGCCTTAAGAAAAAGAATGGCTTCATTTTCATTCTGTAGCTAACCCCTGGGGTTTGGGAGGACTGGGAGGGAACTGGGCATTGGGGACTTGTCAAAAGTGCTTTATCCTCAGAAGCAAATTTTGCACGATTGGACTGCAACTTTTCTTTTCTGTCGTCAGTAGTTTTCTTTTTTTCCTCTGGAAGCTTTCTTTTCCTTCGTCGGGTTTTTCTCCTCAAACCTACTTAGTTTTTCATGCTGGGGTCCTGGAGAGAGAAAAACAAAAACTAAAAACAAAAAACCAAAACTTATGTTCAGTACTTGTATGAGCTCAAACAAGACAAAATAAAATCTGTATACTTTATTTTTGAATGTGAGGAAACCAGGAAAAAAAAAAGAAAGAAAGAAAAAGAAGTCCTTCTTTCCAAGTAAGAACAGCAAATAGACCATTCTGCATATTCTTCCCTGGAGTCTCTCTCAAAAGTATCTTCAAACTTGCAACCTGGATTTTATTTTATTTTAATTATTTTAATTTATACCCTGGGATCCTTTAAGAGCCTGGCATTCCTCGTTGGTCATGAATCCCTTAAAAGTGGAGCTGAGGTGGCCAAACCCCTCATTGCTTTCCTGCTTGATGTGTCTCAGTGGTGACTTAGATCTGCCTCTGAGTGACCACACAATGACCAAATGCTTCAAAGAAAGAGGACCAGCACCTCTTCCTGGAGATCTTCCTTCGACCTGTCGAGTTGAGGGATGTTTGACGCTCTGTGGATGAACACCTGGCCAGAAGCCACCTGGACTGCAAGTCACAGCAGTTGAAGGTACTGACTGCTGTAACCCATCAGTGGTTTTTCCAACCCTGCTTGATTTGGCATCTGGTGCAACACCACTATTCAGTTGCAGCCGAGAGAACTGGTGCAGTATGTATGTGCCAAGGAAATGTCACTAATCCCAAAGCAATCAAAGTTGAGACCTCAAAGTGGATGTCAGTGTGTCCTTTGTGTAACAATGTAACCAAAATATTGACGATAAAACTCATAATTTAAGATTCAGAATAAACGGGTTTGATGTCTGTCTTGCTCTAGCCCCTCCTCATCATCTCTATCAGAATGATGGGGAGGTACAGGATAAGTACCAAGGAACTGGGCATGCTCAGTTGATTCTGTGATTCTTTCTAAAGGACACACACACAAATACTGATGCAGCTGTAGGTCTCCGGGGTGTATTGGTCACTTAGATATATTCAGTTTATATTTAGATTTTTTTCAAAGAGTAAGATTTTGGAGGAAAGAGCTAAAAGACAAAATTAAGGGTTAAGAGGTTACTAGTAATATCAGAAATTCCAAGATTTGAGAAAGCTCAATTGTTTTCAACTTGGGTGTGAGGATGAATTTAATGGTCAAAAGGCAAGTGCAGGAGACGCTGCATAGTGACAGTTGGATTAAAGTCCTTAACTTCCTGCATTAAAGAGAAAATTGAGGTAGGATGAGAAGCTTCATTTTATTAAGATGATGTTTTCTTGTGAGGAGGAAAATCAACCACAAAGCTTTTGGGGTACTCTGTCTCTGGCTTGAAGACATATTTCTGAGTGTGAACTGTGTTTATTGATGGTGGGAACATAAACCGGAGGCAGATGGAGTGTGTGTCCCTTGTGTTTTGTTATTCGTAGATATTTTAATTCTCTTTCCCTCGTTTCCTTAACTCCATGCTTAGTTTAAAATGAGCAAGAAAACCTCATCTGAAGACAATATTACATTGCAGAGATTGGAAGATGTAGGAACCCTTGTTATTAATATTTACACCCTTTAATAATACATAATGCACATATTTCATTGTATTTATATCTTTATCGTGTACAGATTGCCACTGGGTAATACTGCCTCATTAATAAGTTATTAAATTAACCAATATAAATGTATTTCGGGAGTTTATTTTCTATTAGAAAACCAGCTTCCTCCTGATGATTGTACCCTCAGCCTTCTTTCTTTTTGCACAGTGTGAATGCCAGAAAGTTCATTAGTACATAACCCCCGTGGTGATGTTCTGAGGTAGCTTACTATCTATTGCATCTGCCTGGGCGATAGCCCAATAGAAATAATGTAGATGTATTATTTTCTTGAGAAACGGAACTTAGCTAAATCAAGTTATATCAAATAACAGAAGAGTTATAAAATACATCAATTAAAAGAATACCTTTGCTGAAATTTCAATTTGCTTGTGACATCCTTGAGAATTGTGACACTCCCAGGCTTGTCTCAGAAGAAACAGTTGACAGATCAAAAGTTAAGGTGTGGGTTTTTTTTTTGTTTTTTTGTTTTTTTTGTTTGTTTGTTAGTTTTTTGCTTGTCTGTCTGTTTGTTTGGATTAAGAACATTTGTCTAACATTTCTAGACAGAGCTCAGCATCCATGGTTCCTAGCCTCAGTGTTCATATTTGCAGAGTCAATACTCAGACGCCATAGTCAGTCTACCCTACCAGGCTGCTGAGAGAACCTCTCAGAACTTCTGGGAGAGAGAATGGAGAGCTTGGGGAGGGGGTAATAGGCGGGTTTACAGCTGGAGGACTGTTTTCATAAGAACTGATTTGTCAATGTGCTGCCGTAAAGACCACTTAAAATAAATGTCTGGCAGGAAGGTGATTGTGCATGGAAGTGTATTTCCAAAATTCTCAAAAGACCGCTAAAGCTATAGTACTATAGCGAAGCTTCCCTTAATTTATTTTTAGGGATAAGATAATATCAAAATACGTACATCTGAATTTATTTGAATTTTCAATTACATCATCTGGCTGTCCCTTGTGATTCATGCCTACCCTTGTCTTCTGGTATACACTGCCAAATCTTATAAAATTATATACTGATAGCATTTTCATAAAAGCATAGATAACAGCATAAACAACATACAGCTTTTGAATATTATCTTTTTTTCCTTGACAAACATTAGCTTTCTTAAGCTGTGAATACTTTTCAGGAAGTACTCCTTTCTTAGCTTAAAATATATTCTCAGTTGATATATCACACTCACAACTGAACTCTAGGTCCTGAAAGATTATGTTTAGCATCTGTGTTTCCTGAGACATTTCTGTATCCTAGCATTTCTGTTATGTTTTCATGTACAGCATAGATTCATCTAAATTTTTATAGTGTGTGCTTTCTATACCTGCTCGTATCAAAGCTGGTTAAGAAAACAGGTTTTTAATACTGCCATAAAAACTCACCCCATATAGAGATTTTATAGATTTATTTACTTGCTTGAAAAGTAAGACTTAGTTCATTCAACTTATATTGGACTCCAGAAGAATTTTGAAATATATAAAACAAAAAAAGACCATTTCTGAAATCTGAGCTGCAGTTCACATTTCTTAATATCCAGGAAACCACAGTGGTCACTTATTCAGAGACTGTTATGTAGCATAGATACCATTGCCTTTGAACACAACAACAGACACTTTATTTTAGTGATGGTATAATAAAACCACATCAATTATCTATGCTTTCCTGGGATGTAGGAATATGTAAGAGCAATACTTGACAAATGATCTTCTACTAGCAAAACAAAGCAGGGTCGCTACATCATGCTTCAGCTGTAGCGAGAAGAGCACAGAATATTCTGTCAATTATGTGGCCATATTTTCCACTCTATTATTATTTTTTGTCGTAGTATTTTTTTATTGAATTTAAAGAGACAAATACTGATTTAAAGAGACAAAGATGATGTTGCTGCTAATAAAATAGTATGTGTTTAAGTTCCTGCAACATAAGAAGAATATAATAACAAGAGCAAATACAGAAATGAATGAAAAGCTCGTACTGTTCTTAAGATGGTGTAGAGACAGAAACAAGTCGCGTTGAGTTATTCTAAAGAGTGATTTTCTTCATTGTGTGGACGTACATGTAAAGAAGAGTGGCAGAATATTAAGTACAGAATCACAAGGAGTTTTGATGTTTATGCAAAACAGTTTCTTTATCTTGATATTTCTAGTAAAACAGCATATAAAATATTTTTTAAACTTAAGAAAAAATCCTATAAATTCTCTGGAGAATTTAAACGTTACTTTTCTTAGCATTTATTAAGAAATTACATCAAATACCATGGAGTAAGTTAATATGCAAGTGTCATATTGGCTTGAATCTTCTATTTCCTTGTGTTCCTTAACGCTTCTCTGACATACTATGAGCTGAAGAGCCACAGACATTACCCAAGACTGCATATCAGGATTTCATTTTAAACATTTTTCTAGAGAAAATGCACCAAAACATATGTTTACTGCTTTGCTGGTGGAGACCGACAATTAAAAACCAAAACATAAAACACACATGCATACATATATACCACATGTATGTTATTATTTATATACACACATAGATGTATACATATGCATATATATACACACATGTATATAAATGCTACCTTGTAATACAGATATCCATGACATAACTGGACAGAGTCAGTGTCCACAGCCCTTCTTCCCAAGACATCAAACTCATGCAATAAGTATTTAAAGATTTTGAGGAGGGAAAAAGCTTTCAGCACACTTATCACATCTCTGGGTCTCTATACTAATAATATATCAAAATATGAATGCTCTGTAAATGAGATTCCCTCACATTTCCAAACCCAGTAGGATCACTTGCAATTTATAAGGGCAAAAGCCACATGGTTTTACCTCCTGCAGATCGTAGCGGCTATGTTCCATCTTCCTAAGTGGGCTCTGCTGTGTATCTCCATCTCTGGAATCATTTAGGTGTCTGCAACCTCATATGTCATCATCCTCATCAGCTCGCCCACACACACTCAGTGTGCAGTGTAAATGAGATGCTTGACAACTTTATTCGGAAAAGAAATCTCCATCCCCTCTCTTTAATGCTTACAGCAGGACTCCCCAGGGTTAGAACGCTGCCTTGAACCCCAGCTAGTCTAACAAATGGAAGCTTCTTACTAATGAGGCAGGACTGTCTTGCAGCCTGAACAGCTGTGTCTTGGTCTTTATGACCGGTCCATCCCATGCTTCAGCACTGCCGATTACCATGTATGACACAGACATGGCCAACACTTTGGAATGTTGAACTACTTTTTTGATCTTCTTAACAGCATCCTATTTATTTTAAAAATACTTCTATCAACTTCTTTTTTTATATTTATGTATTTATTATGTGTACAGTATTCTGTCTGCATTTATGCCTGTAGGCCAGAAGAGGTCACCAGATATCATTATAGATGGTTGTAAGCCACCATGTGGTTGCTGGGAATTGAACTCAGAACCTCTGGAAGAACAGCTAGTGCTCTTAACCTCTGAGCCATCTCTCCAGCCCCTTCTATCAACTTCTTTAACCATCAGAATGCTCTGGGATGTAGACTTTCATTTAAGTTCTTAATGTTGTGATCAAGAAATGAGTATTCATTGTGATTCTGAATACATCTTTATTATGAAACACATAGATATAATAATATTATTTTTACTGTAGCTAAGTTAATTCATTAAAATTTGGCAAATCCTTACTTCTAAATTACCTCCACTGCAGCAGTTTTATAAGGATTTTAAATATCCAAGCTATGTTTGTGTAGTCTATCAAGCATTTGCTTTCTAATTAGTGTTTTCACTACCTATAATTGTTAGATCATCAGTACAGCACTTCCAGGAGGTGGTTTACTCCAGAAAAAAACAGTTAGGTCATGAAAGTGTGATGGTGTTGTTCTTTGTCTTCCTAAGACCATGTCAGGGTGTCATGGTGAAACTTTTTGTTCTTGGTTTGTAAATGACCAGTGTCAAGAATGGTCATGGTATTCACAGGACTGATCTGGTCTTTAAGGAACAGGGTGTAGATATTTTCTTTACCATCCCTATATGTGCCACTGATTGCCTCAGGGTCAGAGGACATGCAAGCAGACATGAAAGGAGACAAACTGCTCACCCCGTGTGGACAGCAGAGCCCACAGTCAGAATGGAGGAGTTAAACAGACAGCGAGGTGCAGGGAGAGGGCAGCGGTGTGAGGGTCCACAGAAAATTGAATATGCTGCTCACAGAAGAGAATAATGCAATTTACATATTTTACATATGAAGAAGATAATGTTATATAAACTGTGACTCTAGATCTGATCGCCCAGCTACAAACTTCTTGACTGTCTCTCCACCCCATCGTGAGCATGATTGAAACTGTATAAACCCACCGCAGAATGGTTCCTTCATTAATCTTGACTTCATCACAGTTAGAAAAACAGGGAACGTCTATTGCTTTATATCATAAAGATAAAAAATTTAAAAGGTGTTTAATTTAATGCTCCAATCTTCCTTCTTGTCTTTTAATTTGGGGAAAGAAAAAGAAAGAACCCTTATGCTAAACCTAGCCAAGTAGAAGTCGATATTTATTTAGGTGCCGAGGAGGCATGATTTGAAGTCTGTCTTAAGTAGAACTGAATTGAAGAATTTACTCAGCTCTTCAGTACCTTTTACGAGATGGAGATGTCAGTTTAGTCAATCAGTATCTTTTTAAAGATTTGGTGTTTAAGAATTTCACAATGTACATAATGTGTTTTGATCCAGTTCATGCTTCCTCCTTCCCTTCCACATTCTCTCCTAGCCCACTTACCTCTTTCTGCTAACTCACTGAGTTCATTAGTGCTACTTATATGTATATGAGAAGTCATACTTAAGGCTTGATTCACAAGATGGAATCCATACCTGATACGATTACTGGAGGCAAAGTCCTGGTCATGGGACACAAGGCTGAACCTAATATTATTATTCTGCTTAATGGACATAGTAATGCACTGCCTCCAAGTTATCTTTATATTGATAGTCTACAGCATCTCTCAATTCTCATCAGATAAACTTCTTTGGAAGTAGGTGGTGACTAACACAGAGGCCCACAGCTGGTCAGCATGCAGAGAATAAGAAACTGTAGCATGCCCAGGTCCAAAAGAGGAAAGAGACAGTGGACATGAGACCAAGGACTTTGATCAAAGCATGAACCCTGTATTTAATTGTGTGTTGTGATGTGTGCAGATATGTACGTTCACGTGACATAAACAACATGTATGTTTGGTCTTTACACACTGTTAAGGTGTCTCCTGCGACACTGAGCCATACCTTTGAGAGGTGAAATTGATGGTCCAGGTGGTTTAGCACATGTGTGTAGATGCGCGTCTACTGAATTTATCTCAGTTGCTGGGCTTGTGTTCTCACATTTTCCTTCTTGTATTCAGTCTGAGGAATGTATTTCACCAGAAGGTAAAAATTACATCTGCTCTCCCTGACAGACAGAGA